GACGTGTTCCAACAGTCCCTGTACGCCGAAGTTGCCGCGCTCTCTGCCGCACCCATCGTTTCTGTGCCTACAACAGCAGACCATACGCCTGTGGCTTCGTTATCACCGCCAGTGCGTGCACCACCTTACTACGCACCTCAGCGCCCACCTCGCCCAACCTGTTACTACTGCGGCTATCGAGGACATATCGCTCGGTTTTGTCGAAGGCGCCAACAAGACGAGCAACGCGGCTACGCTCCCGAAGAACATCGAAGCTTCCGTCCGACCATGAACTACTTACGGCCACCCCTGCGATCGTCCTATTACCGTTCACCGTCACCTACTTACCATACGTGCATGCCTGGGAATTCCCGTACGTCTCGCCGCAGGTCGCCTTCGCCAGGTCGTCGTTCAGTGTCGCCTCTACGGCCCGCCTCCCATTCCACGAACGCCCACGCGGAAAACTCCCCGATGCAGTTTTAGGAGGGGAAACTGCATCCCTTGGACAGCTAACAATTCCTCCAGAGCGGCCATCGAATTTGATAGTAGTGTTTGTAGAAGGTGTACGTGTTGAGGCTCTTGTAGACACTGGCGCTGCCGTTTCGATTATTCGTGCTGATTTTTGTTCCCGCCTTCGAAAAGTCACCACACCTTATAGCGGCCCACCTCTACGTGCGGCGACCAACGCTCTCATTCGTCCACTTGCACAGTGTACCGTTCGTGTCTGCATAGAAGGCATTCGTCATCACATTGTTTTCGCGGTATTTCGTGAGTGCACCCACGCTCTCATTCTTGGGTGGGATTTCTTGTCTTCTGCGTCCGCTTTCATATCATGTGATCAGCGCCTCCTGCATCTAAACGCCACTGACTCTTCTTCGCTTGAACAAGATGGACGCATCCGCCTTGTCACCAAGTCAGATTATGTACTTCGGCCATACATCGAAGAAATTATAAGTGTTAATTGCACCGACATTGTGAATGGCGACGTACTAATTCTCCCTTACGGTCATACCCTACGTAGAGGCATTGTGATCACACCGAGGCTTATTCGCTTCTTCGATGGGTGTACGTGCCTAACCGCCATAAATCAAACGCCCGAGTGTGTACTGCTCCCCTGTGGCTCAACAGTATCTTGCGCGGTCGACAGTGAGCCTGTTGCGATTGTTACTCTTCCGAACAACAACCACAACGATGTTCCGAAGTCGCAATCATTGCCATTCAATGCCTCTGTCACACCTGTGTCGGCGACAATAAGCAATGACTTAACACCTGATCAAACTGAAGATTTGCTCGCCCTGTTAAATAGACACCGTTCTCTATTTGACGTGAACTCGCCCGCCCTCAGCATGACTACCACCGCTACTCACAGCATCCAGACTGACGGCTCTCGTATTGTACATCGGCGTCCATATCGCGTGTCTCAGGCAGAACGCAAGATCATCGAGGAAAACGTCTCAGACATGCTACGACGCAACATCATACGTCCTTCCTCGAGTCCCTGGTCATCCCCAGTTGTTCTCGTTCAAAAGAAAGATGGGACAGTGCGTTTCTGCGTCTATTACCGTGCGCTAAACAAAATAACGCGCAAGGATGTATATCCCCTCCCTCAGATCGACGATGCACTGGATTCATTACAGGGCGCAGAGTATTTTTCCAGCCTCGACCTTAGGTCAGGCTACTGGCAGATACCAATGTCGGAGTCTGATAAAGAGAAGACCGCCTTTTCAACGCCAGATGGGTTGTACGAATTCAATGTGATGCCTTTTGGACTCTGTAATGCGCCCGCCACCTTCGAACGCATGATAGACGGCGTATTGCGTGGTTTGAAATGGAAAACATGTCTGTGCTATCTCGATGACATAGTAGTGTTTTCATCCACGTTCTCCCAGCATCTACAACGTCTTGACGAAGTCCTCACATGCCTTGCAAAAGCCGGTCTACAGCTTAACACCAAGAAATGTACCTTTGCTAGCAAGACAATCAAGGTTCTCGGCCACCTTGTCAGCAAAGAAGGAATTCGGCCCGACCCCGAGAAGCTTGCCGCTGTCCTGGATTTTCCTCGTCCACTACGTCAGAAGGACCTGCGCAGCTTTCTTGGGTTATCTTCTTACTTCCGGCGCTTCGTACGTGGTTTCGCGGAACTTGCGTCTCCGCTCCATCAACTCCTCGCAAAGAACGTCCCCTTCATTTGGTCCGAAGACTGCGAAAGCGCTTTCACGGCATTGAAGCAAGCCCTCACGTCGGATCCGGTACTGTGCCACTTCGATTCCACCGCACCCACCATCCTTCACACCGACGCAAGTAGCCATGGTCTCGGTGCGGTACTCTTGCAGCGTGACAAAAACTCACGCGAACGCGTCGTTGCTTACGCAAGTCGTGCTCTTACCGCTCCAGAAAAGAACTACACTATCACAGAGCAGGAGTGCCTTGCTGTTGTTTGGGCAGTGCAAAGATTCCGACCATATCTTCACGGCCGTCATTTTACCGTCGTGACCGACCATAACGCCCTATGCTGGCTTTCATCGCTAAAAAACTCATCGGGTCGCCTTGGTCGCTGGGCGCTTCGCTTACAGGAGTATGATTTCGATGTCACCTACAGATCTGGGAAGAAGCATCAAGATGCTGATGCTCTATCGCGCTGTCCTTTGCCCAGCGGAAGCAATTCACCATCGATACTCCAAAACAACAGCACCTCTCCAATCGCAGCGCTAAGTTCATCACCTGCCACCCTATCCGTCCTTGTTTCACAACAACGTGTCGACCCATACTGCCGCACCATTGTTGACCGCTTGACCGGCTCTACTACTCCTCCAAACGCCAGACTCCGTCGACAACTTAAACAATTTAAGCTTGTCGGTGATGCTTTATGTCGCTACGTTTACCACATAGATGGCAACAAGTGGGTACCCGTCATCCCACGTTCTCTGCAACGTGAAGTTCTGGAAGCCTTTTATGATGATCCAACCGCTGCTCATCTAGGATACCACAAGACTTACGACAAAATACGAAGTCGTTGTTTTTGGCCTGGCCTCTCTTCAGCCGTCGCTAAGTACGTCGCCTCCTGTGTCCATTGCCAACGGCGAAAACGACCGACAACTGCTCCGGCTGGCTTAATGCAACCTCTTCCTTGTCCCGCCTCACCTTTTGAAGTCGTTGGAATCGACTTGTATGGCCCTCTTCCTATATCATCCAATGGGAATCGCTGGATTGTCACGGCAGTCGACCACCTTACCCGCTACGCAGAAACAGCTTCTATACCATCTAGGACTGCTACTGAGATCGCCGATTTCTTTCTTCGCCACATCTTTTTGCGTCATGGAGCTCCACGCATTCTCCTCAGTGATCGTGGCAAAGTCTTCCTATCTTCCATTGTCGAGCAAGTTTTGCGTGCCTCGAACACTGTTCACAAGACCACTTCTAGCTACCACCCGCAGACCAACGGATTGACTGAACGGTTTCATCGGACCCTATCGGACATGATCGCCATGTACATTCACCCCAACCACACGAACTGGGATGCAATTCTACCCTTCGTGACATTCGCCTATAATACGGCTGCTCAACGCACTACCGGCTTTTCTCCATTTTTTCTCGTCCATGGTCGCTCGCCGAGTTTCGCTCTGGATGTCTCTTTCCTTTCGGCCCCTGCACCCTCGACGGCTCCTTTCTCTGAAGAATTCCTATCTCGTCTCGCACACTGCCGTCACCAGGCCCGTGTTAACACCGGCCTCTCTCAAGACACTCGAAAATCTCGCTACGACTCGTCTCGCCGTGTTGTGAGTTTTTCCCCCTGGTGACGAAGTTCTTCTATGGACTCCACTACGCGTCCCCGGCCTATGCGACAAATTCATCAGTCGCTTCATTGGGCCATACGCGGTGGTCGAACAGACCAATTACCGCGTTTCTCCTCTTAGCGCTAGTCCTGATCATCGTTGCCGAGGAACAGAGATAGTACACGTATCTCGTTTAAAGCCTTATGCGCGACGCATTTCATAATACTGTCAAGCGACCAGGCGGCCGCTTTACCGCGCGGGGGGAATTAGTGTGAGCGCGACAAGCGAATGACTCTTTATTCTCTTTGTAATCATCATCACCTGTACATCTTCTTCATCTAAGAATATCATCACCGGCGTGATTGAGCTCGAGCCTGGCCGAATAAACCGGTTCCTCACAATATATAGATATGTATACATGTACGGTGAGTGACGGCGACGCCTACGTCGATGCCGGTGGCAAAATCCAGCCGAGAGTGTCCATATAGTTGCTATCGCAATAAAAAAAACAATCGCGCGCCTTGTGGCCTTACGCAGGCTGTCTTTGCGGCGCCCACAAGAAAGCGGCTTTGTGCATGTCATACGTTTCAACGCAGCCGTGATAGGCCACGTCCACACTGGCACGTTACCGTAACGTTCACGTGCGGCAAGCAGTCGTGCAGGGTCCACACAGAAAGCATTAATTAAACTTCGCCGAACAAGCAAAATGACGAAAGGCGCGACATCTTCGCTGTCCGATGGTTTTCACGGAGTGGAACTGGCTGTAATTTTTATGCGAGAGCTTTGCATTACTTGTGTATCTAGAAGTATAGTAGTTATGAGTACTGATATCCAAAGTATCGATATGCTCGGAGCTAGGTCAGGCAAAACGGCAATCGCGCGATAAGAAGCGCCGAAGTGGCTGGACATTCGAAAAGGTGGGTACTGCTTGGGTGGCTAGAATCCTAGCTCCTAGCACTGCGTTGATAAACACCACCTTACTCCATGATAAACAGGGAACATTGTTACCCGTACCACCTTTCCTTCACACATGCCACTAGTTACGATGGGACAACCGAAACTCAGCTCTTCTTTTGCCTAACTGCAATGCGGCTAAATATATTTATGTAACTTACCAATAACTTATTTATTTTACGGCATAACCGAAAAATGTATTTTGTTCTGAATTTATAAACGATTAAAAAAATAATGCAGTGTCGCGTACTATTTCACTGGCCAGTCAGCTAGTCTTTGGATCAATCCACTCAAATCCAACGCAAGGAAAGCCACAGGCCCGCGATAATGTTTTCTTTACGACGGCCGCTTGTTGGCAAATAAGTTTGATATGCTGTCTCTGACGTTTGGTGCACAGCCACTAGTGTCGACAGCTTTCTTTCGAACGCTACGCACTAGCTGCCCGTTCAGTGCGCTTATCCACTCATCACCGGGTGCGAATCGTGCCGGCAAGCCTCTGTTATTACGCGCACCGGCGCCTTTCTCCGGCGTCCTGTCGGCACTGCACAGGTGTTCCATTCGTAAGTTGCAAACTCGCTCGATGTTTTTGAAGTCTTAAAAAAATCTTATATTTATTGTCTCTTCGCTGCACGTTTCATTGTAGTGTCTCAAGGGAATGCTAGCCACACGCCTACTCCGGTGTCGAGAAAAGAGAAGTGGAAGCATGCAATCAAGGAGTACGGTAGCGCAATGGTGGCGTTTCACGTCGTGCTGTCAGTCACATCCTTCGGCATCTGTTACCTGCTTGTTTCGAGGTAATGTACCGTTCGTAGCGCGTTTTATTGACATAGCGAGGAAAATTTCCGCAACGTTTTTTTGAAGGAGAAAAAAGGGGAGGGATGCCCGGTGTTCAGAGTACTGCTAGCGGAACTCTAACCACTGTCCTGCAAATAGTGAGATGTGATCAGGAACCCAAGTAACGTTGACAGTGTCATTTATTATTTATAAGGTCAAAGTGTATGACCAAAAGTGTAAGAAGAAAAAAAAAACATTCGCCTGTAATCCGGTTTCTAGTTCATGTCGCTACATTGCATTTCTAGTTGTGGCATAGCTAGTGTTGATACTCTATCATTTTTTTTTTTCAGTGGTGTTGACATGACAACAGTTGCAGAGAAGCTTGGTTTCAGCATGGACTCCCAGTGGGTGAATTCGAAGGTGGCAGGTGGAAGTGGTACACTAGTGCTTGCATACGCTGTGCACAAACTGTTTACCCCTGTGCGCATGGGCATTACTTTATCCACAACGCCGATCCTTGTGCGATGGCTGCGGCGCAATGGTGTTTGGGGATTCAGGTACTGAGTGGACTTTAGCCATGACTTCCACAGTTGATGTGAAACTCCCCCATCTACTTCGACGTAATGTTAATAACTGAATGGCAGTGAAGAGCCATGTTATGAATTATCAGGCGTAGATATCTGTACGTTGACACTTTCCTTGTTAAACAACTGTGCTTAGTTGAATAAAATGGAATTTAAATGAACTGGTGCTCCTTGTTCAAGGCTAAGTGGAATATACGCTGTCACAGACATGATTTACTTGGTGGGAATGTTACAACACAAGGATATAAAAACATATGATTGCGGTCCGTATGCTTTAATGTATTTTCCATTGCCTTTTCTTGAAGTTTGCCAATATGGAATAAGTGATGTGGCTTGCATTGTTGCGCAAACCAAGTTGCCCTATTGTTCTTTCCCCTCCGAGTGGTTCTCGCAAGAGGATGCAGTTTCTAAATATTAATGTTACTTTAATAAATTGTAATGAATTGTAGGGTTTAATGTCTAGATACCGTACAGCTAGTTATGATGGACAAAAATGTGGAAGGTTTCAGATTTATTTGTCCCATCCTTGGTAACAAAGCAAAGATATAATTTACCAAGCATTACAAGTACAATTTTGATCAATTTATCTTCACATAAATATCATTCTGAAGGTAGAGAAGTATTTTATAATGAAAAAATAATGTAGATCTGCTGCAGTTGGGCATAGGCCATTTTCAGAGAACCAAAAGCAGACCAGTGTGCGACTCTGCTCCCTCTTGATTTTTCATGGCTGGATGTGAAGTTGGCGGAGGAAAACCATGTACATAAATACTGCAACAACTGTAATTTAGGCAATTTAGTATGGTGTTGTAAATTAAAAGCTAAAAAAATAAGAGCAGGCAAAGCACACTGGATCAGAGACACCTTGTCTGGTTAACCTTTTTATGTGATCAATTTTGCCATGGTGGTACCGCTATAGTTCACAACACAAACTACACGTGCATGTCTTGCATGCTTACAAAATGTTTACTAGACCACTGTATCAAATTTCAGCTGTGGCAACTACATTTCTTATGGTACAATGCTAAAGCTTAATGTACTTATATTTAGGTTTACATTGAAGAACACCACAAGGGCTAATTTCCGTAGCCCTCCACTATGGTGTCCCTCAGAAGGATATTGTTGGTTTGGGATGTAAAATGCCCAACAATTATTACTTCAATTATTTACCAAGCACTCCTGGAAGAAGTACAGTCCTCCTTGGCTGCTCTTCAACACAACTGCACCAAGAGATGCCTCATGAAAGGACCTTCAAAAGCTTGTGTATTTCTCACATATAGTGCCGCAATACATGCTGAGGCACTGCTGAGGCTAATGAATTTATTTATTTGTAGGCACGTATACAGACTGGATTAAAAGAAATGTAAACACACTGACCATTGTGGCAATAAGATTATGCTGGAGTGGTTCCTAACTGTATCAAGAATAATTCTACTTGCTTTTTATTACCATGCAGGCAGCAATCACTTGAAAAGAAATGTGAAACAGGACACAATGATGTCACACTCTTTTTCTTTTAATTGCCATAGTATATCAAATTAATATGCCTAACCTCACTGAAAGTGCAAAGCACACATCTGTTATTGAAAAATGTCTCTAAATAGTTTCAGTGAACAGATATGGAGACAAACGAGCTTGGGCATTGGCTTTGTCCATATTCTCATGCAAGAAAGGTTTGCCAGAGTAGTACATTTATTGTTCTAAATAACTGTTTGTGATAATTATGTAGCAGCTAGTCCTCCCCCTCTTCCCCTCCTATAAAAAAGGGGGGGGGGGGGGGCTAGAAAAAAAATTAAGCACTTTAGTAAGCAACACTATTGACAAATTGCTTGTGAATGATTCACCACATGCACCAATGTACTTAGCAGCTACATTATTAGTTGGGCAACCTCTTGACATATTTTTTAGAATACCAGTTAATTGCACTTAAGAGAATGAAGTACAAGGAATCTGTCTGGTGGCACCTTCTTCACCTTGTTGCCGTGTTCTAACATCAGTAGATTCAGACTAGTAGATGTCTACTCGTCTGAATGATGTATTTCTGAGAGGACATTACAATATTGCTAATTACCAATATTCCACAATATACAAGGATTCTCATATTCATCATTGCAGACTCTGCTTTCACTGCTCTGGCTAGATCTGTTTTCTCATAAAGCCTTTCTAAAGACAAGCATTATGCCACCACCTTGAGGTCATGTCAAAGTTGATGGTCATATCGATGTCTTTCTTATTGGAAGCACAGCAGTTTTCACTTTCAGGGTGACCCACTTCTGAACAAACTTTATTGAGCAGCTTTTCTGCTACTGACACCAGTACAAGTGTGGCTAGGATGGCTAGCTTCCCTTCCAAAGGAAGCCTGTTACTAAAATCTTTACTAGGTGGAGGCACGACTTCTATATTGATTTGTCATAGCATACAGTTGTTATGTTATTAGTTTGTAGTGGCTGGAACGAAAATTGGAGGACGCCCAGGTGGTCGAAATTTCCGGAGCCCTCCACTACGGCGTCTCTCATAATCATATGGTGGTTTTGGGACGTTAAACCCCAAAAATCAATCATCAAAAATTGGAGGACGCTTGACCTTTGCCTCCAAGAGCAGATCGCGATAGCGTAATTGGGCCTCACGCTCATAGCCTTCTGAACTGCTAGCATATGTCTCTTCTCTTTGCATGCCTCAGCCATGCTGTAAGGAAACAAACGACTGTGGGCATTACATCAGCTGTACCAAAGTATCAATGTATGCCCTCTGCAAACACTATTGTTCAGTGCCCACAACATCATAATTATTCCTAATGAAAATCAGTGAAGATCCTACTATGTGCCTGTAGGGCAACAGGCAAACCTGCACAGCTCTTCACATTGTTGAAGGTTCTATTGCTGATGATGATTAACATGTCTGAGCGCTTTGTAATGGGTGGGCCTTTAAAACACACACTCGTGGCTCTATCCACATGTTCTGATGCCTGGCGTTGGGCGAGTAGCCAGAAATTTTCTTCGGGGGGGGGGGGGGGGGGGCATTCTCTGAAAATGGCTATTTTCCACTCTTTATGCTATGGTGAAAAAAAAAATTTGGGAGGAGGGGGAAAGCACATGCCAGGTGTGCCACCCCCTGGCTACAACCCTGCCTGGCGTGATTCAATGCATCCGCCACGCTGCATGCGATCACTCTACTACACGACATTCATCTACTGTAAAGTGTCAAGCAAGGGCCTTCCCCCCCAACGGAGAAGGGTAATCCGACCAGATTTGGGAAAGAGGGGCACCTGCTCGGTCTCGGACCGGTCATTGGCAATTATTCTTTCCCGAAAGTGGGAAGGGGGCACTTGTGGGGGGGGGGGGGGGCACAATCTTGGCATTTTACGGTTTGAACAGAGCAGTTTCAACAAATACCGCAGCTCTGCAGTAGAACACCTGCTTGCCACACAAACGGCCTGGGTTCAGTCCTCACTCAAACCCGAACATTTTTATTACTTTTTATTTGCACCTTTGTCAATTTTTCGGCCTCAACAAGATGACAATTATTTGCTCACAACCAATGACCCCAACACCAATGCCGTCTTCAGAATTTCTGCGAGACTAGCTCTTTAACGCAATAATGTTAAAATGCCAGCCAGTCCAAACTACTTAGCATAGTCATGTAAAGGAACATCCTCAAAAATTCTATATACACAGCTGAAGTCTGGAGTGAAACACATGCTCCATTAAGGCTATAACTTGTTATGTCACACATTTTCTGCAATAAAAGACTTATACAAGCCAACGTTAAAAGTACCACACGATTACAGCTCGTGCACATATATGCAAAGTATTATCACTTTCACTTCACAAAAAATTGGCAAAGCACGCACGAAGCCGTGCAAGCCTTGAAACATCGAAACTGGATGATATTGAAGACTAATGTGGTTGCCTCTCAGTTGTTTTTATGTCATTGCTAAGCTTTAACTAGGTGATGCTACGTTGTTACTACATTTATTCTCAGCACAGAGAAGTTCGAGTTAAACCACACAGTCACAGCCATGAAACAAATGTTCCAACTCGAGACGAAAATTTGTGCTGAAACCAAGTGTTTGCACCTCTCCTACAGACATAGACAGGACATGGATGTCCAACCCGACACAACCCTAGTGCTGGGATAACTGTTGCCTTCTCTCTTCTTAGTGGACCAGCAGCGAGTAGTGGGATTTAGCCAATTTCATGGCACATACCTGTTTACGATGATGACAGTTATCTGATAGGCTGGACAATTTTCTGTGGCACATACCTGTTTGGCTAACTGCCATAGTCTTCATTTTTGTGGTGAACCAGCGGTAAGTAGTGGGACATACCCATTCATTCTTCAAGATAGGGTCAGAAACATTACAGCTAGTTTTGACAGCTTTACTGTTAGAAAATGTTGAAGGTCTGTTGTACAGTGCTTCCCATTTCATAACTTCACAAAGTTCTCAGGCAGGGCTCAAGCTGAGAACAATTTTTCAAAGGGTTTCGTTAGTTAAATCAAGCTATCACTGTGTTGCACTAAAATTTTGTGCATTTTGATACCTTTCAGCAAGTGAGGTATTTAAACATAAATTAGCAAAGTATACTGCTGGCTTCAACACTGGAGCTGTGCTTCGTGAAAAAAAAAAAAGATGCTTGGGTTTTGCATGTTAAATGCATGCTGAAGTGAGGAATTACGGATTAATTTTAACTATCTAGGGCTCCTTAAAGGGAAACACTGGTGCATTTTTGACCATGCTGAGATAATGCTGTTTTCTAATAGTATTGATAGTCCTGCGAAACCTAGGATGGTTCATTTTGCCCAAGCACTTGTCAATAATTTTAATTATGCAATAAATGACAAGTCAAAACAGAAACCGAAACAGGCAGTTACTCCGTTAGCCATCGTGAGCATCGGATGGCGTCACGAGAATCCATCGCCGATGACATCACGAGATCCGCTACACCTCGCCACGGCTGACCAGGGTGTAAACATAGATCATGTGCCTCTTCTGATGTGTGAAATGCAAGTTGGCGATGTCATCCGACGCGAAATCAAGCTGCGCCACTCGTCTGAGCTTATTAGTGACAAGTTCAGGTACTATACGAGCACGGAATAAGTGCTTTTTGATTTCGACCCTCCGGCGCGTGAATCATCTGACATGCCCCAAATCGATTTCCTA